CACACACACAGTGGACACACACATTATAAGCCCCCCCCTCACCACACACACACACACACACACACACACACACGACACACACAAACACCCAAATACTCATCACCCTAGCACAACCCACACTTCTGAGCTCTGCTATCTATGCTATTTATGTCCTTCTCAAAAACGCATCTAGGGGGCTCTCGTGGCCTGTAGGTTAAGGTGTTGGCCTCTCATTCAAAGGTCTCAGGTTTGAATCCGTGTAGCAACCAAAAATTTTATTCTCTAAAATTGTTTCCTTTCACCTCTTTTCCTGCTCTCTAGCAATGTTCTTTCGTCTGCTTTCGTCTCCTCTTTCTGCCCCCACCCCCTCACCTCCTTTGCCCCCTTCTCTGGGCTCCTGACTCTTTCTGCTGCCTGTCTGCTGCTACTCCTTGGCTCCTTCTTACTGCTGTCTTTCTGCCACACCCCTGATCTTCTGGTAGGAAAGATCTACACCTAGCCTTCTGGGACAAGGGCGAAAAATCTCGGAGGGCCAGAGTGCAAGTTGCACACGTTAAAGATCCCATGGTGGTCTAAAATCGATAGGAGTAGGCTTCAGCCGCCACCCGTACAAAATTCAAAATTTCCTACCAACTGAAAATATTAGGTGTGTCCGTGCGCTCCTATGACCTAATGCAGTTGCGAGCGCCGTAAAACATTTACCAAAAACCCCCCCAACAAAAACCGCATTTCAGCGCATTGTGACCTCAGTGCTTTCTTGTATTATATCCATTATTTTTAACAATGAAAATGTGATTTCTTCTTAAGCTCCCTCTTTGTTCAGAACTGTTTTCACTGTTATTAACAATGGAGATAAGACAAGAAAGCACTGAAGTAGAGGCATACATCTGAGAGTTGTAGTTAGAAAGACACTAAAAGAACAGACTCACGTGAACACTTTGTTCAAAGGTAGAGGGCCGTTACAGAACGTTGACACTGTGTTTGTGTCGCAGTCTTTGTCTGCTCCGATCGTGTACAAATAATCCGTGGACGGATCTTCATTTTGCAGGGAAGGAAAGAAAAAGAAAACAGAAAAATCACATTACTTATCCTTGTGGAGGTCTTCATTTTACACAGAAAAAAAACAACAACAACCCTCCCCTAAAAAAACCTACTCCCCCCCCCCCCCCCCCCCCGAAAAAAACAACAAACAAACAAACAAACAAAACAACAAAACCCCAAAAAAGAAAAAAACAACATTCAAATTTAACCAATCAAGGAATCTTCATTGCAAAGAGAAAAAAAGTGGAAAAAAAAAATTAAGCGATAAAATAAACATCGTCTAACTTAATCAATCAAGGAATTTTCATTGCAAAGAGAAGAAACATTTTTAAAATTCTTTTTTAAATAATAAATTAACTTTATACAAATTAAACATTATTTCAATTCATCACTGAAAAAAATGGTGTTACAGCAGCATGCATAATGGAATAAAAATAGTAACAGGAGAGATTACGTAAACAGTTCGCAATGATACCATGCAACAAGAGTACAGACAATAGAAACAGCGATGCAATGTAAAGTCAACGTCTCAATTGCATTTTTTTCTGAAGAGTGTCGTTCTAAGCCAGTTTTTACGTATTTTATCAACAGTGACAACAAAAGTGAAGCATCCCGGTGAAATCAGCGTCGTCAAAACAACAAAAGTGGAGAAATTGGTATTTTTTCGCAGGTTTGGGAAATTTAATCGAATTTTTGTTTTTCGGCCCAACACCTTTATGCAAATTAAAAATACATTTCTGAGTAGATTTTAAGGGAAAAAGTTGATGAAAGGTATAAAAGATGTAAATTCTAAGTTTCCACAGGCACTCAAGCTAAGGAAATAACTAATCTTTGGTTGCCATTCTTTCGCTTATTTAACTCTGAAACCAGGCCACCCCAACCTCCTTCAATAGCCAATATCTCGACTTGTATCCGAGATAAACGAGTATTTTTTTTCGTCCAAAGCAAGGCAAATGGACAAGCTTGAAAATGATACCAATAATTCCATACGCCAAAAAACTGACGACGAGCGCCTGATTCCACCGTGTCGTGACACAATTGTGAGGCAGCGTGGTGGAATCAGTCTCTCGTCAATTTTTGGGCTTGTAGAGTTTTGGGTATCATCTTAAAGCTTGTTCACTTGTTATTATTTGGATGAAAAAATTTTTCCATTTATCTTGAATACAAGTCGAGATATCTGCGAATGAAGGAGGTGGGGGTCACCTGTTTTCAGAGGTAACATTAGTGAGAAAATGGCAGCCAAAGATTAGTTATTTCCTTAGCTTAAGAGTGGTAAGTGAAAATTTACATTTTTTGAGCATTTAATCAAGGTTTTTCAGAAAAATCCTCACAGAAATGAGTTCTTTAATGGGCATGAAAGGTGTTGAGCCGAAAAACAAAAATTTAATAAAAATTCACAAACCTTCGGAAAAATGCAAGTTTCTTCACTTTGATTATTTGGACGAGTGCTTGATTCCACCACGTCATAACACAAATGTTAATAACAACGACAGCTGCAATGACTATAGCAAGAATATAAATAATATATTAACACATCACCAGCCCTTGAAAGAACAATAAACTAAAACAAGAACAAAAACAGAACAGTAATATGAGTCAGGAGGCAATGAAATCTGGCGCTTATCAATTTTTGGGCACGTGGCCCTACTGAAAACATCATAAAGCTTGTTAATTTTTCTTGCTTTGAATGAACAAAATTCTAATCTATCTTGAACCGGCTAGAAATCGAGATATTTGTGATCGAAAGAGGAAAGAGTCGCTAGACTGCAAAGGTAAAATGAGCAAGAAAATAGCCACCTAATTTAGGTGAACTCCATTGCTTGAGGGCACTTGGAAACTGAACATTTACATTTTTGTGCCTTTAATAAATGATCTTTAGTAAAATCAACACGAGAATGTGTTTTTTAAATGGACATAAAAAGGTACTAATCCCCCCCAAAAAAAGAAAGCGACAAAAATAGCCAAAGTGTTGGAAAAATGCCTGCATCTTCGCTTGTATTATTTTGACGAGCACCTCATTCCACCACAATGCCTCACATATTACGAGTTAAGAAGATAAAATAAGATAAGACAATACTTTATTATCCCAGAGGGACATTTTTTGTACGCTGCGTGAAAACAAACAGTTGTGGTGCGTGGTTGGTGGGTGCTGTGGTGTGGTTTGCTTCTTCTCTCCTATGAAAAATCTATCTTCCTTATCTCCCCTTCTTCTTTTTAATGTTTGTTACTCTCTTGTAACACCTCAAATCTTCTGGCCCTCAAATGACCTTGAGCAGTTGCGAGCACTGTAAAACCTCTACTAAAGCAAAAACAAACAGTAGTGGCAGTGTTGTGGCCTACCTTTGAGTAGCTTCTCCAGCCAGTTGTCCGGACTGGCCCAGAAAGGAATGGCGAAGCCAACTGCCCGGGATCTGGCCCACGTCGTAGCGTTGATGTCGCTCAGGTTCTTAATGCCAGCTGAAAAGGTGAGAGCGTGTGTGTGGAGTTTGAGGTAATTTCTTGAATGTACAATTTCTCAGGCGGGCAGACAAAATGAGGCCAAAAGTCAACACTAGGGTCAAATTTGCAAGTTCTCTTTTGGTGCCATATTATTTAACTATAACATTGCTTTATATTATTTCATACTTATAAATTGTAAAAACTTCACTTTTAAGCGTGATGTATTTATTTCCATCAGGCTTGAATCCGAGAAGTAACTCATTTTGTCAGCACAGTCCCCTTTCGATACTTTCACTATCCCCCTCCAAAGGAACCCTCACCCCCTCATTTTTATTCAACCCCATTACACACACACACACACACACACACACACACACACATACACACACACACACACATACACACACACACACACAAAGGAGAAGTGTTGAAGACCCTGGAGGAAAAAAAGACAGGGAGACAGCAGAACACCACGCAATCATTAGGATGCGGGAAATGGGGATGGAGAGGGGAGAATGGAGAAAGGAATGATCATCTGGAAAGGAAAGACGTCGTCATAATCAGACAGCCACCGGAGCAATCGGTATGGATACCTTGTGGGCTTTGGTGCTGGGGGGAACTGAGCACTTATGGACCTGTCCGGTGTGCAATGACGATGTTGCCCAGGACAGGTAATACAGGTAATATGCACACACACAGACATACACTCACACACACACAGACATACACTCACACACACACAAACACACACATATACACACACACACAAACACACATATATACACACACACAAACACTGCTCTTTACCAATTTAGTCTTTGTTATGTTCCCCTTCCCCCTTCTCTCTCTCTCTCTCTCTATCTCTTTCTCTACCTCTTCCTTTATCTTTCTCTATCTCTTTCTCTCTCCCTCTCTCCATATGTATGTGTATTTGATATATATATATATATGTGAATACATGTATCTATCTATATTTATCTTTCTGTTTACCCATTCATCCATCCACACATCCATCTATCCATCCATACATCCATCCATTAATCTGTCCATCCATCCACCTATCCATCCATCCATCCATCCACCCATCCATCCATCCACCCATTAATCTGTCAGTCCACCCATCCATCCATCCATCCATCCATCCATCCATCCACCCACCCACCCATCCATCCACCTATCCATCCATCTATCTTTTCAAACATCCACCCAACCATCCATCCATCCACCTATCCATCCATCCATCCATCTTTTCAAACATCTATCCATCTATCAAGACATCCATCCATCTATCATCATTTCTCATAGCTCATACTCATACAAACCAAAGATGCAAATGTTCTTACTTGCGTCAGGATAGCTACAACCTCCATCGTCCGAATCCCGAACACAGATCAAGAGTCCAACTTCCTGTACGGGTCCCTGTCTTTCGTTCACCGCACACAAGGCACACAACTTTATGTCCATGGCACCGCCAAACGATCTCACTGGAACCAAAACTTCCCGTCCAGGAATCGCTCTGTCAAGTATGGGGACTGAAAAAAACACAAGTTTGGAAAGAAAAGTTATTTGGTCGCTTTTAAGGACAAGCGGGCTAACCCAGATTTCAGGGGTTTCCAGAAATCTTGACCTACACCAAAAGTGGGCATTGACCTACCTATAGGAGAAGTTTGGTTACATTGGTGTGTATATTTGTTTGGTTATAGAGAAAACTTTTCCTTTTCTTTTAAAGAAACTGAACAAGGGGCAAAAACTTTACCTTTCATTTTCTCAGAACAGCATTTTTTGGGATAGCCCCATTGCGCTTAAAAGCGACCATTTACTCGTATGTTTTAACGTTTTAAAAAAGTTGTTCCCGCATCCGATCCGGACATTGGGGTTGCCTTGTTAGTGAGACAAATTCCTGAGCCTTCAGCATATTGTGGTAGGGTGGCCAGTTCCTTTCCACGTCGCTTTTACTTCCCCAACTCGAAGTCAGGTACCCATTACTGCTGGGTGGGCAGGATGGGGTTGAAACCGAGGCTGGAACCCACACTTTCCACTTCGGAGACGAGTGCACTAACCGCTCCGCCACCGCACCCTCATGCAGAAGAGGTGTTGTTGTTGTTGTTAGCGATCCAGTAGCATCTGAGCGTTAACTCTTCTGCATGATGCCATTCGGTAATAGTTGCATGTCTGTTCTAATTGTTGTCTTGAGGAGTAGAGGCAATTAGATGTGTGGGGTAGCTTGGGAAGAAAACATCCCCTTAAATCAGTTAGTTTTCTACAGAAAAACAGATGATGTTCCACTGTCTTTGAGGGGTAGTCACATAGTGGACAGGCAGCAGACTGCTTTACTCCAATTCGGTTGAGATGTTGGTTGAGGGGTACATGTTGTGTTCTAAGTTGGAAGAATATGCCGAAGAGGTGCATTGACATATTATCCAGATTTTGCTAAAGCGACTCATTGCCCAGCCCTACTCATCACCAGCCCCAGTAGAAAGGGCTGCACAAGGAAGCATCAATCATACACGGCCCCTGTGCAGGGTTAAGCTAATTAGCCCAGCCTCAATTCATCTTTGTAATAACCAGGCTATTCCACAGTATCAGCATGACATTGGTACATCGGCCTATTTACAATTCTACTATGCATAAGAAAATGTTCATGTCCCCCTTTAGGAATGAGCTAAAGACAACTTAAGTCAGTAGCATCGCCCAGGTGGGGGAGAGCTAAGAATATAACCCGATGCTACAAAAGACTATAACAAATAAAATAATAATGTCTCACTTTTTTCCGAAGCAAAGAAGAAAACTGGGTCAGTGTAGGCTCCATCGAATTCCTCGCCCCTGACCTTCACCTGTGGAAAAACAAACAGAAAGAACGTATTGGAATGTTCACTGTGGTGGGAACATTGTTTTTGTAACATGAGCTGTTGGAAAAGAGTATAAGAGGGGAGTGTGTGTGTGTGTGTGTGTGTGTGTGTGTGTGTGTGTGTGTGTGTGTGTGTGTGTGTGTGTGTGTGTGTGTGTGTACGCATGTTATGTGTTTGTGTATATGAAAATCTATTATGTTTGTGTGAATGCATGCAACAACATGGCAGACCGACAACATTGCGGAGTGGACAGGGAAATCCTTCACACAAACTCAGGCGCTCGCAAAAAAAAAAGTGAAAAGTGGAGGCACCTGACGAGGCTCTCTATCATACAGCGACCTCTACGATCCTCGTGGGTTATGGGAACAGTGAGTAAGTACACGTACAAAAGCAAACTTTGCACACGAAAAGAAGGGATCAGTTGGCAGTAACACCAACATCAAACCACGTTATCTACCTTACTCTTTGTAATTTCTCAATTAGCTCTAAAACTGACTTCCGAATGTCTACCCGATTTCTTTTAACACTTTGCAGTCTCGCAGCCAGCAGTACAAAATACCCCATCCGGTCACCTAGCCAGGAGAGAGACTGCAACGGACTTCTCAGGCCTGGCACAGAACTGCACCAGGTGACCGGAACGGAGAATTTTCACCTTCGCATTATTGCACCAAGTGACCGCAAAGTATTAAATATAGACCTGTGTTTTTATGCCCACATCGACACAATTTAAATCATTTAAAAGGCAGGGCTGCCGGTTTCTGAACCACTGAGATCTACAAACTTAACACACATGCTCTGAACCATTGAGATCTACAAACTTAACACACATGCTCTGAACCATTGAAATCTACAAACTTAACACACATGCTCTGAACCATTGAGATCTACAAACTTAACCCACATGCTCTGAACCATTGAAATCTACAAACTTAACACACATACACATTTAGGTCCAAGATCAGAGTCAGTCTTCATTAATCACTTCTTCCAAAATTTTGAAGGTAAAAAAAATAATAAAAAAATAAAAAGATTCTGTTTGAAATGATCCCTCAATAGCTCAATGTGTGAAATTGGCCGGGAATAAAATAAAGAGGAATTTTCTGAAAAGATAAGAGCCATGGGAAAAATGGTGACACTCACCTCAAAAGAATAATTTTTCAAGACTTCTATGCCATTCAGGTCTGCGGCGTCTACTTTATACGAGCACGGCTCCCGATGATGTTTCCCGAGGGGGATGAAGAACTCACCTTGTAACTAAGGAGTAATAAATAATAACATGAATAATTATGATAAATTATAATAAAT